TAAAGTTGGCCTCAATTATTTAACCTAATATTAACAGAGGCTAATATTCAATAAATCTTCTTCCCACTTTATTTTCCATCCCTGGCCCTAGATAATATTATAATTGATGCAAAAGAGAGAAGAAAAGAGCGTAACAGAAGACACAGATGAGAAGAAAAAGACTTGAAAAGCTTCTCATGCACTGAGCATTAAATTAGGACAGGTTGGTTTTGCAGTTCCTGTCTAGCCCCATACCTTTCCTTTGCTTCCTACCATTCATCCTTCCTACAATATCTTCCTTCCTCTCTTTGACCTATCTAAGTTCTTTCTATCTGGGGATATGATAAGCATTTTATTATTTTAAATTCTATTCAATTTTTTTCTAATATGCTTTTTCTAGTAATAACTCCTATACTGTGGAGATCAGATGGGAAGATTGAGGTCTAATCGGCCTCCTCAGTGAGCACTGAAAGAGGACATACAAGCACGCTAACATGTTGGAGGGAGATGTAAAAACGCTGAGGTTAAGTTGTTTACCCCGAGAAGTACCATGGAGGGTGGGAGACAGATGAAGCCTGTGGAAGCCTAATTGCTCGTGCCTGTGTCTGAGTGAATAAAGCCAAGGTGCACCAGTCATTTGGGTCTGTATGTCGAAAGGAAACATGAGCCCCTTGGCCCCCAGATTTTAACTTGTTTCTGTGTCTTTATTTTTCATCTTTGTCACCCCTTGGTCAGGTTACATTATACATGCTGACAGCCAGTCTGGCCTCTTTGCAGATTTTCCTAGTGACCCCAGATCTCTGTGGAACCCAGTACAGTTCCCATTCACTGCATCCTCTTTGCACTTATTTCTTGGCATCAATCCCAGGGATAATTCCTCAAGGCAAGGATCATGTCTCTCCTCAGGCCTCCTCTATTCAACAGCTCTCTGAAAATTCTCTGATATAGTCCCTGAAACCAGGGTCCTCACTGTGTGAGGGGAAGCCCCACACCATGAGAGGATCATCCTTGGGACCTACAGGGTTTCCTAGAGAGGGGTTCTTGGATCCTAAGGCGTTCAGCAGGGCTCTACTGTACCTACACTATCTCCTCCCAATGCCCAGGCACACAGGGCATCCTACCATGTCTCTGTACGGCTGTATCTCAGCTCCAGAGATCTGGGGCAGTCTCAAAAAAGAGCTTAGTTTAGGGTACTGAAAAGCAGCTACTGAGGACGTTGGAGGTGAGTTTCCACTCACCAAGAGGCTTTGGGTGAGATGGCTTCTGCCCCTGGAAAGCGCTGCCTGCATACCATGGCTGAGGTGGAGGGATAATCAAAGCGGCCACAGCTCCAGCATGAGTTTATCACCCATTCCCAAGAGGAAGACTTCGCTCAAACGTCCGGAGATGCCGCCTATTCTCAGGAAGGGAAATCATGACATAGGAGGGGGATCCTGGCATCATATTCCAGAAACAGAGAGCCTTAAAGTAGCTACCTCAAACAAGAAACCTGCTGGGGAGAAAACAACAGTTTAAGAAGAGGTAAGAGCTGGGTGCAGTGGCACATGCCTGTATTCCCAGTACTCTGGAAGACTGAGGCAGGAGGATCGCTGTGAGTTCAAGGCCTGCCTGGGCTGTATAGTGAGTTCAAGGACAGCCTGAACAGAGACAGAGAGACCCTGTCTCAAAAACAACAACAACAAAACCAAAACAAAACAAAACAAAAAAGGGTTGGGGATGCAGCTCAATAGTAGAGCACCCCTGGATTTGATCCCCTGTATCAAAAAACAGAGAGAGAGAGAGAGAGAGAGAGAGAGAGAGAACAGCAGGATGTGGTACGCATGCCTGTAATCCCAGCACTTAGGAGACTGAGGCAGGAGGATCGCCACAAGTCCAAGCCCAGCCTGGACTACATAGTGAGACCTTGTCTCAAAAAAACAAATTAAAGGTTTCTCTGCCTGCTGCACAAGTGCAAGGACCCAAGTTCGATCCCTGGTACCAGAAAAACAAATTTTTTTAAAAAAGCAAACTATAGATTGATGCTGTGCTATACACCCAGATAAACTAGATTAATTTAAAAGCTAAATGAAAGAATTCAAACAACAAAAAATAGATACTTTTTCTATAAGAAAAATGCTTAATCTCAGAATTGGGAAGGAAAGCATAAATACTGTACAAAAAAGTGGTTAAAATTTTCATATTGTCGGGCCGGGGATTTAGCTCAGTGATTCTGCCGCCTGCCTCGAAAGCACAAGGGCCCGAGTTTGATCCCTGGAACCAAAAAAAGAAAAATTCATATCGTGGCATCTTATACAGTGATGGCAAACCTTTTAGAGACAAGTGCCCAAACTACAACCCAAAATCCTCTTGTTTATCGAAAAGTGCCCACACTGCAATTAAAGCTGAATACTGAGGTTTTAGTTTAGAAAAAACAACTCATACATTAACATCTTTTGTCTGAAAAGAAGTATAAACAACGTGTGTGCCACAGGTTCACCACCACTGTTGTACAACCATATAAAATACATCCGTAAAACTGGCACGGTGGCACACACCTGTGATCCCCACACTTGAAAGACTGAGGCAAGAGGATCACCGAAAGTTCAAGGCCAGGCTGGGCCACATATTGAGACCCTGTCTCAAAAACCAAAACAAAACAAAACAAAATACATCATGGGGAAATGATCATGAAATAATGAGAAGAAAGCAGGATATAAAAAAGACTTGATAAGATATGAATATAAAAAGCCAATCAATTGCAATTTACTACAAAGCAACAGTTTAAAACTGTGTACAGATGTTGAATATGTTTTTTTACATGTAGATTTCAAAATGTTTTTAAAATTTTTTCAAAATCAAATACAAACCACATAAAGTCTCCACAAGAGCAGCGAAGCCCAGGCGCACAACCTGTCAGGTACTTGGCTCTCCTGAGCTGCTCCCTAACCTTACAGGGGCCCCAGCCAGGAGGAGGCCAGGCAGAGAGGCCAGAGTCACACACAGACTTGGCAGCTCGCCTGCTCCCTTCCAGATGGCCTGAAAGGGCCATCTCTATGGAAAGGCCCTGTTGTCCAGCAGTGGGCTTCCTGGGTTGCTGCAAAGTTTCACACTGTGGCCAAAGCAGCCTGGGGCCTCACCAGCAGCTTCCAGAGTCAGGCCTGGGGACCTCGGGGCTGCCTCACTCCTAACCCTCTGAGCTACAGGCTGGAATCTGACCTCAGCACATGCTGAGACATCTTCCCTCCCGTCTGAAGTCCTCCCCAGGGGAAGCCCCTCTGTCCTCGAGGAGTTGTCCATCTGCCTCCCTCCACTGTCCCAAGACCCCCATCCTGGCCACCCTGCTGTGGATCACTGCTTTCTCCAGAAAGCCTCCATCCTGGCACCTGGGCTCCCATTTCCTCCACATCTGGAAACTGTCATACCTTAGTTCCTGCCAAAATCAGAGGCTGTCACCACTTAGGGCTACCAGGTTTAACAAAAAGAAATATAGCATACCTGGTTAAATTGAAATTCCACATTAACTAGCAATCATATTTCTTAGCATAAATATATTCCATCGATTTTATGTGCCCCACCTCCACTCCGACTACTCATAGAAAATCCTGTCTTCTTTCTGTCACGTTGTCAATTGCTGTCTCCTTAAACCCCTGGGGAATCCTGTCCTCTCTCCATCCCTAGAGCATGAAATGCTGACCCTGCTGTGATCCTCTCAATCCTGCTCTTCCAACTCCTTAATGCTGACACCCCTCTGACACTGCCTTTGATAAGCAGACACCCCACTACCCCACCTTCACACTGAATATCATCTTTACCCTGTTGGCTACCTGCTCCCCAAAACCAGCAGTACTCTTGTTCCTAAGGAAAGTGGTTTGCCTCTGTCTCCCACCACAGGAATATTTTAAACCAGTATCTATTCATTTAGTTCTTAATGGATGCCAGGCCCTGTGTTAAGCAGCTCAATTTTTGCAACACCTTATGAAGTAGTAATATTAGTCTGATTTTATGAGCAGCCCAAGATCATGCCTTGTTAAAGCAGTCAAATATGCATAGATAAGATGTGAACAAAAACATATATTTAAATATACATATAAAAATACGTATTTAAATGTTTTTTAAATTACGTAAAAGACACATTGCCATTAATCTTCCTCAAAATACTCCTCTTGCTTCAAACATATTTCTCCCATCATTCTTGCCACTTTCTGAAGCAGTTCTGGAAGTCCTCTTTCCTGAGTGTCTTCCAAGTGGCTGCCTCGATATCCTGAATGGATTCAAAACATTTATGGTGATTTCTGTCAAATAAAACCATTGTGATGTGTCCTCATCCACCTTATTCATCAGATTTGGTACTGTGCAACACCTGGCTCTTCATCCTAGTCAAAATGACCATGCAAGGTAAATGCCTTGAATGGACTCAGGACATTGAGGCAGCTGTGACAGCACAACTGAAGACACTCTTGAGAGAGGACCTCCACAGCTGCTTCAGAAAGAAGTCACAATGAGAGGATAAGTGTATTTGAAGCAAGAGGGAGTTTTTGAGGGGGACTTGTAGCAATGTGTCTTTTACTGTAATTGATTTCTTTTTAAAAATTATAAACATTCACTGTATTTTTTTATCACACTGCAAAACCTTAGGTAGACTCAGATTAAACTACCACTTGCGGGACACGTATTTTTTAAAGTCTTCTAAAAAGCCTCCAGGTTGAGACATGCCACACACTCCAGCTCACTCCTTCTACTCAGTTCCCCCACAAAACCCTACAGCCTTAGCCCAGCCATGGAAAACTCCCCAGCCCAGTCCCCTTGGCTGTGAACTTTCACACTTGAGAAGAGAGAGACACATCAGGCTGTGCTGCCGCATGCCTGGTATCTAGAGTTGGCTGAGTGAAGCCATGCCTTGTAGTCCCTGCTCCTGGCTTGCACTCCCCCCACCCCACCCCCTACTATAAATAGCCCCCCCCCATGCTGGCTGCCAGGCTGTTACAGCAAGAGTTTTCATGAGGTCAGCTTCCCAGAGGGGCTCTCAGTCCCCAAACACTCACCTCTCCTGGAGGCCTGTGGCCTGCTTGCCCCTGCACAGGGCTGTCCCTCACACTGTACTTCTGGCGGGCAGGAGGTGTGGGCACCTGGGCAGAGGCTTGAGGTGTGGCCTGCCTGGAGCTCTGGGCCTCAGGATCTGGGGCTCCTTTCAAGGAAGAGGGGGGCTGGCTATCGGCATGTGGCTCCCCTTTGGGCTTCGGAGGGGCAAATCTCTTCCTGTTGAAAGGCCGAGCAGGCTGGGGGGCCACAGAGGGGCTGTGCTGGCCAGGATTGGTAGGCAACTCAGCATCTCTGGACCCGATGGGCATCTTCCCAGGGGGACCCTCTGCAGGTGCCCTGACACTAGGGGGCAAGGGCTCCCCCTGTCCCTGAGGCCTGGCTTCCAGGGTGCTCTCCATATACATGTCCTTCAGGGAGAAATACCCCTCCTGGCCTGGGCTTGGGGCTGGGGCTGTGTCTGGGGCCTTGACAGAGCTCCGGGCAGGGACATCATGGGCTTTGTCTCTAGTGTCCACAGCAGGGGCTGGCTTCCCGATACTATTTGTCCTGGAGGACCCAGGTCCCCGGCCTCTGCTCTGGGCCTGAACCTGCTCTGTGCCCATAGGCCGCTGTGTCCCCCCGGAATCAGGTTTGTCTGAACTGGGGACACAGTTTTCTGCAGAGTTGTGACTTCGGGCTGTCTTCTCTGACTCTAATGTCCTTCGCCCCAGCTTGGATTCCTCATCTTTCCTTTTCTTCTTGGCGCCAGACTCTTTCTGGGGGGCTCTCGGCGGCTCCAGCTCCATGGCCTTGCAGATATAGGTCAGCAACCCGTGCTCCTGGTCCTCACCGTTCTCCGGCACAGGCTCCCCATTGGTGGGCGCCTCACAGCCGGGAGCAAAGTTGTTGATCAGGCCCAAACCAGGGTGCTGAACAGACTCTGTCTCGCCCTCCTGCCAAACTTCTGGGGCCTCATCCTTAGCCTCCCCGGGTGAAAACGGGGCTGAGGGGATGGGCACTCCGGGTCCACTCAGGCGCCGCTTGCGTTGAAAGCGGTCGGGGCTGAGCTTGCGCAGCCCCTCAGCCTCTCCAGGCCCCTCCTTCCCCTGCCTCCAGCTCTGCTCCAATTCCCGCATCTTGGCCGCAGCCTTGCGCTTCAGCTTGGCGAACCAGCGCTGGTGGATCTTGTACTCAGTCATGGTCCCCACCTCCAGGACCCCCGAGCAGGACACGATGCCCTTGGTGTTCTGGGCAGAGGCCTGGTAGATGGCAGCATCTTCCTCTTGACACCTAGAGACAAGAACGTGAGGTGAGTGCCACACCGTACTTAGATATCACCTCCTATTACATCCTCCATTCTGGGGGAGGACACTGAGACCACAGGAGGATGGCACCTGGCCAAGGTCACGCTGTCCCAGGAGGGATTAGACTCAGAGCTCAGGAGAGCTCCCTTAGGGAGCAGGTGACCAACACGGCCCCTTGTGGAGTAATGGTGACTCAGTTGCTTTTTTTGGCTGCTGACCTCATGGAAAATGTTGCTGTGGGGTTGCTCTCAGCTTGATGGCTGTCAGAACTACTCCCTCCCTGGCCTCAGGAGATCCCAGGCCATGGCAGGCAAACATAGGTCACTAAGTGGCTCAGCCCAGCATAGGACCCTGTCCTCTACTCCAGAGGGCATCTAGCCACCTCCATTGGGCATACTCCATGACCTGGGGTGGGGGCAGAGTGTGTGGCACACCCCTCCCTCTCACCTGTACAGCTGCAGGGTGTGGCGATTGCCCTGGTGAGTGATTTTGTACTTAGGCAAGCCACAGTAGCGATCCAGTTCTGTGTCATCCTTGTACCAGGTCACCTCTGGCTCCGGGTACCCTGAGAAGAAAGCAGGACACTGAGCTGCAGTAAGGTGAGTTCCAAAACAGTGGGAGGAAAGAACAAAAAGCAGGGTTGCCCTAGTCCATCCGCCTCATACCTGTTGGACCCACAGGTTCTCTGTGTTGGTCAGCTGATTTTTTAGTAACTACAGTTACAGCTGAACACTAGAATGAAAATATGGAGAAGAAATTGCCTAGTCTCCTGGTTGAAAGGGAAGTGTGGAATTCCTAGAAATCCTTGACTGGCAGTAATATGTTCCCTTTCTATAGTGGCTCATCCTACAACCTCAATTATAGCGAGGGCTCTATCCTCAGAGGCCTCCCCAGCCCGTCCACCGCCATCACTGCCAAGAGCCCTCCTCCTTTTACCCAAAGTTCCTGAGCTGGATTACTTGACAGCGAAGCTAAACCATCTGTTATGGTTTGTGTCTAGATGATCCCCCCAAAGCCTCATGCGGTCATAGGTGGCTTTTTCAGACATGGCTCAATGTAGAGTGTGTGATGCTGGGATGATTTGGCATCGCCCTAATCCCAGTAGTCTGGATAAGATAAAAGGGGCAGAAAGACACTGTTAAGGTTCCCTTGTTGCTTTGCTACCTTTGGTCTGCCATGAACTGTTGCCCCTCTGCCATGTGCTACCCTGCCGTGGAGCTGGGTGACTATGGGCTGAAACCTCTACAAACTGTGAGCTAAATAAACCTTTCCCCTTTAACTATGGATGTCGGGTATTTTGTCTCAGCAATGAGAGAAAAGTAACTAAGACACCGTCCATCTGCCATCTACCCTTTCATTCATTCTTCATCTTTCTATCCGCCTATCCACACCTACCCAATCACTGTAGTGAGACCCACTGAGGTGTCTTCTCAGCCCCTCTTCTCTGTGGACTCCCAGGCCACACTCAAGGAAGAGCTCCTCACTGTCACAGACACATGTCTCTTGCCTCCCTAGCCACAGCTGATTGGCCCAGCAATGGACACCAAAGCAGATAGTCTAATCCAACCTTTGACCTAGGATTCAAGAGCGAAGACCAAGAGACAGCCTAGCACTATATCTGGATATAATTTTGAAGGGGTCAGGCAGCTATGAAATACATAAAGCTGATCTGTAGTGAGAGATAGAAAAATGAAACTGACGTTCAGGACAGAACAAGGAGTGGGAGGCAGAGAGCCCCAACAGTTTCCAAATCTGGGTTCCTGTCATGCTGAGCACAGCCGCACTCTTTGGGTCCAACTCCTGGGAAGCTCCTCTGGCCTTGCCAGGGAGTTCTGCTTCATTTCTTATGCAGACTCCAACTGACTAGCATTACTTGGTAGAGATCAAAGACTCCTAACACTCACTCCAGCATATGCAAACGTGCAAGCCCAACCTCAGCTCTCAAGAACTTACTGCACAGTAGGAAAGATAAGACCGGTACCCAGGCAAGAGAAGAACACACCTGGCATCTGGCATCTGTACTCTCTGCCTGCCTTGCAGCTGGTGGATAAACCACACTCCTCTTCTCCATCAAGGCCGTCTCTCCCACTCTGTCTGCTCCCCTGAACTCTGCCTGTTTATCACACCATTCCCAGCAGCACAGGAGCTTCTGTACCATCACCCTTCCTTGAAAGAACTACATTTGGCCCCATGTCCTCATTTACAGAACAGTTCCTGGCTATCTCTTTCCTTTATAGAACAGTTCTTTAAAAGAGTTGTCTGAAGCCATCGTGGTGGTGCACACACCTATAATCCCAGCACTCTGGGAGGCTGAGGTGGGAAGATTACAAGTTCAAGGCCAGCCTGCATAACTAAATGATACCTTGTCACAAAAGAAAAAAGAAAAAGAGTAGCTCAGTGGTAGAGCTCCCCTGGGTTTGAGGTCCAGTATAAAAAATAATTTTTTCTGAGAGCCAGGCGAGGTACCACATGCCTCAGCTACTCAGGAGGCAGAAGCAGGAGGACTGCACCAGGGCAACAAAGTAAGACCCCATGTCAAATAATAATAATAATGAGCTGTCTGTACTTGCTACCATCACTTCCCTTCCTCCAGCTGGGCTCTGCACCAGAACTGCACTTGTCAAAGTCACCCAGAGCTTGCACATGGCCAGTGCCCAAGACAGTTCTTATGTCTCCTCAGCTCCATTAGTCCACTTCCAGGAGGCTCTTCCTCCTTCCGGCTGTTCCCCCAACTCCATCAGACACTCTCCTCCCTCAACACCTAGACTGGCCCCAGGGCTCAGAGCTCAGGAGCCTTTTCCATCCTCCATCCAAACTCACAACCCAGGGATCTGATCCACCCTGGCTTTTGAAGGTCTGTGCACTCATGACTCCCAGCTCTCCTTGTCTAGCCCAGCGTCTCTCTGCCTGCCTCTTATCTCTGACCTCACACCTGTGTGAGCCGCTTGAAGCTCTCACAGGCTGCGAGCCACCCGCCTTGGATTCTTTCCCAGCCTGACCCCACGGGCCTCAGGAAACAGCAGCTCCATCCTTCTAACAGTGCAGGCTAAGCATGGTAGCCACCCTTCATCCTTGCTCCCTCGCGCACCTTCTCCATCTGACAGTCCTCCTGGCCCTCCCTTGGGAAGAACCACCAGGATCTGGTCACCTCCATCCTCCTCAACTTGGGTTTTGCTGATGTTCCTACTGCTACCCTTCCTCTCTCAGCAGCCTGCGATCAGCCCAACAGCCAGAGTAAACTCGTGAATGCAGTACTCCGCCAGCGCGCCCACCTTGCCGTGGCCCTAGTGGCCTGGGCCCCCTTCTGTACTGCCTCATGCCCTTGCTCCTGGCACCCCAGCCCCAAGGTCCCACCACTCGCCTCTGACACACTACCCAGCATCATCCGGTTCTCTCCCCATTCCCCAGGGGCAGCAACTCTCTCCCCCAGCGCTTCCCGTCCCTCCTGATAGGCTTGCTTTTCCCTGTGGAGCACATTGCTCCTGACATTTTACACTCATGAGTTGGTTTGTGCCCATCCTGTCCACCCTCCCCCCCCAAGACACACTCAGTGTGGAATGTCAGCTTAGGACAGGAGGACTTATCTGTGTTACTCCCAGCTCTGTCCCCACTTCCTAGCACCATGCCTGGGATGGAATCAACCCTCATCAAATATTTACAGATTATAGCAAAGACCTCAGGGGTCAGAGACTGGGGTGAGGGATGCATGGAGGCCTTAGGAATGAGTAGTATTCAAACGAGACTTGAAGGATACACAGAATGGTGGGAAATGTGGGTTCCACAGCTCTGACACCATCTGCACAGCATGGTGAGGGCATCGATCTCCTTGTCTGTCTCTCTTGTCCCAAGGGAGCAAAAACCACATCTCACTCTCAGGTCTGTGCCTGCTGCCTATGACAGCACACACACAACCCACCCCGGAAGTGCAAGAAGGAGGCAATGAGAGGGCAGAGCCGGGGGAGTGTGGTGGGGCACACGGCACTCGGGGGACTGCACAGGCACAGGGAGCAAGGGGGAGGCCACGGCTGGCTGCCCAGGAACACTGAGCAGTGCTGGCTGTAAAGCGAGCCCCAAGTTTCCACTGTGAGCTAAAGCCCCTGGTTACATCACTGCGCATGTGGCCCTGGCTAGCATAGGTGTCCCCACTGCCCCATGGGATGATCTCATTCTGCCAGGCCTGCAGAGCCTCCCGCCCCATGACCAGGCAGTGCAGCCCTAGCTGCTGGGGTCAGAGCAGCCAGCACGGCCGTTGACAGCTGAGGCTTCACAGTGACAGCGAGCTTCAGAAGCAGAGCTGTGCAGAAAGTGCAGGCCCGTCTCCTGGGATGATGAGCTTACCCCAAACACAGCTCAGCAGCACATGTGGACGTGCACATGCCTGCGTGCTCACATCAGGTGTGCCCACACATGCACACGTGCACACAATAGAACTGGAGCCCACACCTCCCTCTGTGCCCACAGCCTGTGATCCCGGTTCACAGTCCAGGCTTGACCCAGACACACAACTCAGAGACTCACAGCCTCTTCCAACCAGTCCCCATTTAGAGGAGCTCAGACTCAGGAGGAAATGTAGGTTTTCAAAAAAAAAACCTTCCAAATACAGAACATTATTTGGCCCTCAAAACCACCCCGTGCAAACAGCTGCTGATGTTCACTGACAAATTAACTGTGGGCCAGAGACTGAGCTCCCTTCGTGTATTCTCTCATCTAATCCTCACAGAAACCCCAGGAGGAATGCCTGCTCCTATCCCTCACCTAAAGGAGAGGAAATCAAGGCTGGTGAAACTAAGGCTCCCACCTAAAGTCATTTAGAGAAGAAGCAGAAGAGCCAGCATTCAAATCCCTCTGTGCTATAAAATGGCAAATTTTTAAACCCCAGTTTACACAAAGGGAAAACGTGGCCCAGAGAAGCTAAGTGACTTCCCTGGGGTCACACATTTGGCACATGCCACAGCCTTGAGTTTCCTTTTCTTTTTTCCAGTGTCTTTCCAATAAGGGTTCTGAGATTAATATACAAGTTTTTTCTCCCAGCAGCTATCACATTAGCCTTATTTCTCTGAAAAGGATTTCTTCAGAAACTTGGTTCTTTCTAAAGACTCAGATCCATCCTGTCTACTGCTGATGCTGCCACTTACACCAACACATGTGCACAGCCCCACATGGAACATACAGCAGAACGGACGAAAGTGGAGGAGGCGGCCTCTGTGGACAGAGATGCAGTCTCAGGACAGAAGCCCTCCAAGCCCCACTGAGCCCAGCCTCGGGGGAAGATTCCCAGGACCTCAAGTCCCTTCTGCAGACCCCCAAGTGTGTCCCACCTGGTCAGCCAGCAGGGGTGGCAGCCGGGTGCTCTTCTCACCTAGACCAGGCCCTGGGCCCCAGGAAAGCATCAGTCACCTGTCTCTGGTGGGCCCTTGGCAGTGACTGAATCCCGTCCTATTTAGGGGATGCCACTGGCCAGGGGAGGAGGACAGGCACTTGTGGCCATTCTGTCTCTACAGGATGAGCTGGGGCAGTGCGGCAGTGTCACATGGAGGTCACCAGGCACCTCTCCAGGCTGGGGAGACCCGATTTCTAACCCTGTTTCCTTAGTTCCCAGAGCCTTCTGCATCTTGTCTCCCTCTGCTCCTTTCCTGTGGTCTGCATTTTCTGCATAAAGGACGAGGTGTGGAACTCAGACAAAGCCAGAGCCTGGACAGGTTCCCACCTGGCTGGCCATCATGAGATGTGGGGAGAAAGTTTACTCCAGTGAGTTGGGCTTGAAGCAGGGAAAAACAGTCCCATCACGACATTGGGAGTAAAATGCCCTGAGACTCTCCCAGAAGGTAGAGCCAAAAGGAGAAAGAAGAAGTGAAGATGAGAAAATAGAAGAACAAGTTCATGAGAACAGAAATCCAAAGAGGCATTCAATAAGTAAGACAGACAAAAATAGGAACAGGAAATCAACATCATATTTCCTAGAACTAAAGACTCTCAGTTCCAAACTGAAACAGCAGAGCATACCCCAGAATGAAGACCCAGATCAAAGGCACCATTATGGGATAACAGGATACTCTTCCAGATAGAAAAACTGGTCACCTGCAAAGAATTATGCTCAAACCACCTTCCTGCTCTAAACAGCAACTCTGAAAGGAAGAAGACAGCAGGACAAGCTCTTTAAAACTCTGAAGGAAAATTATTTTTTATTTAGAATTCTATACCCAGCCAAACTTTCCACTAGGAGTAAAATGCAAAAAAAAAAAAGTGGCATTTTCATTCACAATGAATCTGATATTTATTTTCCACACACTCTTTCCAGGAAACTACCAAACCAAGAATATAAATCAAGAAAGAGAAAATGTAGAGTGCTAAAAGCAGGAAATCCATCATAGGGGAGAGAGGTTAAGAGAGATGCCAGGACAATGATGTACAAGCCACACTAGAGCAGAAGGGCTCAAGGGGAGACAGGTCTGAAGCTCGCACACAACACCTTCTGCTTGCCGTACCATCTCTGGGACCTGAGGAAACTACCGGAGGCAGCACTTCAACAAAGCAAGAGAATAAATCAAGAAAGAGGGAGATAGGGTCCAGGCAGCTGCTGGGTGCAGTGGGGCGTGACTGTAAGCCCAGCACTCCGGGAGCTGAGGCAGGAGGATTTTGACTTTGGGCCAGGATGTGCTACATAGTCAGATCCAGTCTCAAAAAAACTAAAAACTATTTTAAAAGAGGCTACTGGGGCTAGATGTGGTTACACACAGATAATCCCAGCTAGTTGGGAGGATGAGGGAAGAGGATTGCACATGAAAGCCCAGTCTGAAGAACTTAATGAGATTCTGTATTAAGATTTTAAAAAATCTTTAAAGGGCTAGAGACACAGCTCAGTGTGAAGGTCCTGAGTTTAAAAAGAAAAAATATCATCATATATAGAATGATTATAGTATAGAATGCTATATATACTCACATTTGGATATATGTTATATATAAACATATACAGTATAATTATAGTATAGCATAATAGTGTAGTATAACAACTCTATACTATGACATTCCCTTGCAAATATCACACAGGAGTAATGAGGCAAACAGTAAATGTTGACTTATGCAGAAATTATGGTGTAACCATATGGAGAAGACAAGTGAAGAGACACAGAAAATGATGGCATAAAAGACCTAATTCCTGCTCTACAATAACAGGAAGACAATAGAGAACATTTAACATGCAAGACTCACAAGTTAGAAGCTTTCCCATATTACTCAGCACTGTAGAGATGAGTGCATGCCAGGAGACAGCTCAATGCTGAGAACAGTCACTTCTGGATAGACAAACTGGTCTTTTTGATAAATATAGCAGTTGAGTATAATTTGCATTTTTAGT